AGCAATTAAAAATTCTGGATTAATTTCTTCTAAATTTAGCTTTTGTACACCTTCTTGTAAACCACGAAATAAAAATCTGAAATCATGTGTTGTTTCATTTGAACAAACAGACATACCAAATGCATGGAAATGTCGATCAAGATCAGTTGTACCGACAATAAGAACCGGGAATCCTTGCCACAACAATTTATATGTTGCATCAGCATGAATTCTTTTTGACCTTGAAGCAATTTGTAGAAGTCTTTTTGTTGTAATAAAAAACCGAAACTTGTTTTCATTAACATCATCATCATCGACATCGTCATTTTCATTATCATCATCATAAATAATTTGGTATGATGCAACAAAAGGAGTATCAATTGATTCTGGAATTGATTGACTCGATTCTAAACACCATTGTTCAATTTCACCAAGACTAATTGAAGTTGGACCAAGTTTTGTATTCTTAATGGTTCTTAAAAAATTATTTAATTGGCTAATGTTAGGTGGTGTTATTCCACGTTCATGAAGTACTTCGATTATTGCTTTCGGTTTCAATTTCAATTCATATAATTCCTGTATAACTGTTTTTACTTCATTTGGTATTCTTGAAGGTTTTTCTTGTGTGCTATCATGAGTATGATCTGATGTGGCACGAAATAAAAAAATCTTATCATTTGTAGAATCAAATAATAAACATATACCAGCATCACATTGTTTACCACGAGCTTTGACTTTATTACATCTAAAAAATGTCTTTTTTCCTGCAGCTGTTGTATTTGTATGATGATAACTCCATTGATTTTCTTTGATCACCACCTCTTCAGCTTCTTCAGTGTTGTTAAACACCTTTTCTTCTACCCAATTTCGTTGTCTCTTTTTCATACGTTTTTGATTTCCATTGTCGACAATTGCATTGGGATCCACCTCATCGTCTGAAACATAAGCTGGTACTTCAACAATTTCCAGCGCCGTTGCCATTTTAATATCAAAATAGCAATAGCAATTATGGCTAATCAAAATTCAACTTATTTAGAAGAAACGAGCTATTTATATAGGAATAGACAAAGAAGCAAACAAGCGGACGATATCGAGAATCTTCTTCACCTTTATTACATTGAGAACAAAGAGAGAATACAATGTATTCGTTCTTTATATGTAACTGTAAAAGATCGAACAACTATACTAGGATAGAAAAAGCAGGTTAAAAAAACATAGTATCGATAAGTGATAGAATTTATGTATACAATTATCGAGGGTTACCATATAACATAGTATGTTGAATCATGACATCGTCATAAGTCAATGCGGACAATCGCTCGTCTGTTTAAATCAAAATATTTTTATAAGAAAAAATAAGTGATTACTGGTAATAATACTACTTTTTACAGATTAAATGAATTTTTTAATCAGCAAACTGAATTAATTACTGAAACT